ATTAATAAACAGTACCTTTCCCTCAAGTCATATTTATAGTACAGTACAGTACAGTACAGTACAGTACAGTACTATCATCATCAAATCAATATAATTAATAGATATAATGACCAATTCTAAAAGCTGTCTTTCCACACCAAATGCTTGTGAACTTATTCCAATACCATTTTATATTAACACTTTAATAAAAAGCTTTTTTCATGATTGTGGGGAAGAAACAAATGATAGATCACTGCAATGCTAAGATGTTCTATCAGCAGGATGCACCCTCCTGTTGGTTCACTGTCACTGCTAAGATGTTCTATCACCAGGATGCACCCTCCTGTTGGTTCACTGTCAACTGCAGCTCACTTACTGAACCATATTTAGTAAAGATTTAACCTTCATTCAGCTGTTGCTTCCTAAGACAAACAGTGTACTGTATAGTGCTGTACCAAGTACGATATGAACCCTGGAGCCAGTTCACTGGTCTTGGACACCTACAGTACAGTATTATATATAAAAAGATTTTCACACTTTAACTCTCACACATTTCTGCTGAACAAGATCCCTGCCAAGGAAGGTGGGAAGGATCTCTAAGTCCCTCTTCTGTTCCCCCAGTAATAAACAAGATTTAAATTCTGAAATCCTATTCTGTGATCAGATTTGAGTGGAATACATTGGGATAAGTGTGCTGGCTGTAAACATGAAATTATCCCTATACTGTACTGCATCATGTTTATGATTGAGTTATTATTCACTTCTCTGACGCTTCTCCATCATTATCTCAGGCATAGTGCGTGTGATAGCTGAATACCCGACAGTCACCGGGGGACCGATAGCTGCATGCCAGCTGTCTGTATTGGAAGATGCCGTTAATTTGGCAGGATTAAACTGTGCGAGTCCGCATCCTGGGAACTAGGCCCCAACACCCTCGCAGTGTATCGAACTACAACAGACCCTCACAGCGTTCTTTCGTTTGTTGTGGTGAAACCAGCGTGACACCCTGGGGCACTCCTTACAGTTATATGGACCAAAGTATTATTGTTGTGCAGTATATGATTGGGGATATTTAGCAGAAGTATGGTTATCCCATGTTGAGTAGTGAACCCATAAATATTGATAGTATCAGTAAATATATTGTGTGAGTTGAGTATATCAATTGAGGGAAAAGTGCCATGTTCTTCATTCCGAACTGACATGATATAATAAATAATAAGTTAATTTGGGATATTGTCAAGTGTGTCAGAGAACCATCTGTAGTGACAATGAAATAATATAATGATTGTTTAATGATGTAATAAGTAATTGAAGATCTATTTTATGAATGGTAAAGTAAGACCTAAGTGGTCCAGTCTGGTCTGAGGGTATTTGATTAACATCTTGTTCACGCCTTATGTTAATAAATATTTAATAAGTAAACAACGAGTATCACCGCTCTATTCCTTCTACCCATTGGTTCTCAGAAAATAACTATTGTAACTCAGGTGCCTATAAGTTCACTAAGATATGTTATATTCTAATAAAAGTCTGGGTGGTGGCAGGCTACTGTTGTAAGTATAGTAAGTGTTATAATAATAATGAAATGGTTTCCCAGACTTGTGTATGCATGACTAATCCATGGTTTAGGATATAACTAGAACAGAATATAATAAAGAGGAAAACAGGATTCTTACAAATTGGTGACTTAGAAAATATAAGCAAGAATATACTGTAAGTATATAAATATATTGAAGAATAATAACAAAAAAGAATAAATATAATATGAAATAGTATAAAGAGGAAAAGTGCCCCCCTTACACTATTGAGTAATATATTTCAAATTTATACAATACCGTATATCTCGGCCTACAAGACGGAATTTGAACAAAAAAAAAATCAGCCCAAAGTTAGGGGGTCGTCTTAAGCACCAGAGATAAAATTCTTACCTCTTAAATTTTGCGGTTTAGCGTGTCAAGAGTGGTGATGGAAACATGGTAAACCACTCACAAGGTCCTACCACTAATTATTTTATACTGAAACTTACATTTGGGAAGCTGGATTAAAATGAAGATTACCGGTATATTAAAATAATAAAAATGTATTATAAACCAGTCTAACATACAGTAAAAGAACAATATACCCCGGTAATAAACACAGCTGCTATCATCACCCCCCCCCCCATTTGCCAGTGACAAGAAAGGGAAAGTGACCGTGACTGTGACTGCCTGTGGCTATTTTTAGCCGTCCTTGTGTTTGGAGGTGGTCAGTAATGCATATCTGTATATTTACTGATCACAGTACTTATCTCCTATAAATAATTAATTAAATTTATTTTTTTGCAAAGAATATTCAGTAAATGACTGCGTTAATTCTTGAAACTACCGACAGTGGTAAATTTAGGATGAGAATGATTAACAGAAGTCACGTCATGGATTTGTCATGGATTCGGAGTTTGATCCTTAATGATCATAAATGTCTGGTCAACTTCACCTACCAGGTATAATGGTCGCCTCCCTTTTTCGCAAAACAAGTATATAAATTAAAGAAAATACTTGCAGTGTGTTTAATGTATTACAGTATATTATAAATAAATAAATAAACCAATAAATTGGCAAATCTATTTCAAGTAAATGGAAATATTTTACTCACACCAACATTAGTTCCAGTTAAATAACTGATGCTTAAGTGAGTCACTAGTGTACACCAGCCGGTAAAATTTGATGCCAATACTTGAAGTGAATTGGCATTATTTTAAATAACCAACCATAAATAAATGGAAAAAAGATCAAAGGTGAGAAACATTATATTGTATGTATGTTGTGTTGTCAAAGGAAGAGAAACAATTGAAACTCTGCAATTGTGTGTAAATGAGGCAGAAAGATAAATCAGCAACCTAAGACTTGGTCACAATTTTCGTGATGCCATATGGAAGTAGGATCTACCATTAGACAATACTGTACATTATGCTTCCAATATCTTCCCAGGCAGTAGAATCTCCCTGTTTGGTAGCTGCCTAAAACTTTTAGTAATATTACTTTGATACAACATGATAAATTTGACAAACAATGAAAATAAACAAACAAAAGTTATTTACCAAGACCTTCTCTCTCAGAACAGAGGGGAGATAAGACAGCTATTTATAGCCTGTCTTTGTGTAGGAAGTCGACCACACTAGAAATAATTCATTTAAAATTTATATTTTTTACATAGAATATTCAGTACATGACTGCAATTATAAAATATTGTGAATATATATATATATATATTTGTGTAATAAATGTATGTAGTAAGTATGTACAGTAATCTTTTTCACTCAAATCCTAATGAAACACTATTGAATTAGAATACTGTAGCTCGCTGAAGCAAGCTTATAAATTAAAGAAAATACTTCCAGTGTGTTTAATATATTACAGTATGATATAAATAAACAAATAAATCGGTAAATCCATTTTAAGTAAATGAAACAATTGTATTCGACACCGACATTAGTTCAAGTTAAATAACAAACTTTTAAGTGAGTCACTAGTGTTTACACTACACCAACCAGTAAAATTTGATGCCATTACTTGAAGTGAATTGGCTTTATTTTAAAAAACCAAGGATGTGTAAACAGCACTGGTCAATGGGATGGTTGGTAAAGGACTACTGGGTCAGTAAGCTCCCAATGGTAAGTGTCACATTTGGGGTACCGGTCTTATACAGCGAATAGGGCTCAAAAGCTACTTTTTAAATGGAAATTTTGGGGGCCGTCTTATACACCCCGTCGCCTTGTAGGCCGAGATATACGGTAGTAGGTAATACATCTTCTATTTCAAAATATTTGGTAGGTATTTTCAACCTCCTTCTGTCCTTTAGTTCAAATAATGAACTTGTACGGGTGTACTGCAAGGGGCGTGTTGTAGTGGTGATGAGAGAGAGGTTATGTAGTGGTGATGAGAGAGAGGTTATGTAGTGGTGATGAGAGAGAGGTTATGTAGTGGTGATGAGAGAGAGGTTATGTAGTGGTGATGAGAGAGAGGTTATGTAGTGGTGATGAGAGAGAGGTTATTTAGTGATGATGAGAGAGAGGTTATGTAGTGGTGATGAGAGAGAGGTTATTTAGTGATGATGAGAGAGAGGTTATGTAGTGGTGATGAGAGAGAGGTTATTTAGTGATGATGATGAGAGAGAGGTTATTTAGTGATGATGATGAGAGAGGTTATTAACTGTTGTCTCAGAGCTGTCAGCTATACCACTCTTGGATTATTATTATTATCATAATTTTCTTTGTTACTGTAAACATTTTGTTAAATAATATTTGTCATCAATAAGCATTATGTTAATACCTTCCATGTTTAGTTTTCAGTCTTTTTAAATTTCTATTTTTCCTACATTTAAATTCTAGCTTGAATATTATTTCTTAAACCTATTAAGCCATGCACTGCTCTCTTGTTAAGGTTAATTCTTCACATAACATACCTCGGGAACATCTCTCTTTGGGAATCCTGTAGCAGCATAAGCCTTGGCAACCTGAAGCCAGAGATCACTGGTCTGGTGGCTCAAATTTTGACTGACGTGGGACTCCAGCACATCAGGATACACTTGTAGTAGTGCCCTTGACTCCTCTGCTGACCACAGTTGCTGACTCACCTCTGTTAAATATCTTACTTTATTATGACTAATAAACAATATCAATCTTATCACTTGAATAGATTTCTTAAATAAATGTAGAAATCCAATATAATACATGACAAATAAAACTAAAAAAAGTTTAAAATATCACAAACAGGTCATGTGGCAACCAGTGTGTGGGTTTATACTCCTACAGGTCATGTGACAACCAGTGTGTGGGTTCATACTCCTACAGGTCATGTGGCAACCAGTGTGTGGGTTTATACTCCTACAGGTCATGTGGCAACCAGTGTGTGGGTTTATACTCCTACAGGTCATGTGGCAACCAGTGTGTGGGTTTATACTCCTCCAGGTCATGTGGCAACCAGTGTGTGGGTTTATACTCCTACAGGTCATGTGGCAACCAGTGTGTGGGTTTATACTCCTACAGGTCATGTGGCAACCAGTGTGTGGGTTTATACTCCTACAGGTCATGTGGACTGTAAATACAGTCATGCGCCGGGTAACATCCAACCGAACAACGTCCGATCGCATTTACGTCTGTGCCCGTCCCTCCCCCCCCCCAAAAAAAAACTTCCGTGACGCCTGCTGGACCACCACTCCACGACCCCCTGACGGAGACACGATGATCCTCCCCATACTGGCCAGATATTATGTGTTAAAGGAATATGCTTCTTTCCTTAGGCTTTTTTTTAAGCATTTGCCTCCAGGTGTAATGTTAAACTACATCTATTGAGGATAAAATCTTTCACCTACAAATTGACAATAACACATTTGCTGTATTCAGACATATCTAGTTGCCTCAACAATCGCAATCCCAGTTGCAATTGGGGTTGCAATTTCAAATTCTGTGTCATTACTAAGGAATAACGAAGTCTCTGGTGCACTCTAAGATTAAGAGAGAAAACGGACTCCTATGATGGGGGACACAAGCACTCACACATGCCCCTTACACTGACAGAATTGACACTCACTTACTTGACAAGTTTTACCAACCATTAGTTGTGTGCGTTATCTAGTGAATTTAGTCAATACAGGTAGTTCTCCTATAACACGATAATTGTGTTCTTGTAAAATATCGTGTTATAGAAAATCGCGTAATAGAAATAACAGGGCTTATGGAGAAAATAGGGTTAGGTGCAGATTACTCGAAATCGAAAAAAATTAGTAGTTAGCCTAATACAAAGGATAGCACAGTCTAAATAAATGTTACATTCATATCTAATAATGAAATCATACAGTAAATGTAACACTTTAGTTGATGGGGGAGAAGGGTGATTTTGAGGTTGATAAAATCGAGCTTCTCTTCAAGTGTTATATCCTTTCTTTTACGATCATCACCGGGAATTCTATCACCAGAACGCTTCTCGTTGATATTCTTTACTATATTCACAGTTAATACAGTGGGGTATGCTATAACGAACGAAACTCCTACAACGAACATTATTTAATTTTTTTTTTTTTCTAATTTATTGTTTTTTTATTACAAATATTAATGATATTCTTTATTTCAGGGGTTTAGATGCATATTTATGCACTTTTTTACAATTTTTACAATTTTATATTATATTTTTCAGTGTTAAGTGGTTGTATTTGGGGGCCTGGAATGGATTAATCCTATAGCGAACGAATGCTATAACGAACAAGGTTCTAGAACCAATTAGATTCGTTATAGCATACCCCACTGTACCATAAAATTGGAGAAATAGTAAGCAAAAATCGCGTTATAGCAAACAAGCGTTCGCGTTATACAAATATCGTTCCTAATTCATAAATCGCGTTAGAGCAAATTCGTGTTATCAAAACACGCGTTATAGCAGAACTCACTGTATTGTACAGTACAAGTACACTGCAATACAGTGGTCCCTCGGTTAACAATGGACCTAAGTGCAAACCTGTATTGTACATGTGCTAAAATTGTTATGTCTATTGCAAATATAGATTGTTTATACAGGTATTCAAATAAATCACTATCTTACATGAATCCTAGCAATGTACGTTATATTCACCCAGGTCTTTTGGGTGGCAAATTATGAGAAGAGCTTAGTCACCCTTAAGTAATGATAAATAATCAGGCAGACAGGCCATCAGTGCCAACTGTCAAATCTTACCTCAAATAAATAAACAAACACCAGACACTCTGTCACCTCACCTCCGGCCCCCCTCCTCTTCCCACACTCGCTGGCTACCTCCCTCCTTGTGTTCCCAGACAAAAGATTGGTGATAACTTTATGCTTTAAGGTGTTTATTTTATATAATATCTCAGACTAAAGTTAGGATAATATAATTTGCATTGCTGAAATCCTTGCAAGACAGAGATTAATTTAAATATAAACGCCATATATTTTGCTCGAGATAAAAATTGTAGTACATGAGTGAACAGTACTGTAGTACATTTTATAATATAAAGTTTTTCAACTGTATTTTTGGGTAGATTTACATAAATTTCTTCATTTATTTTCATCCATTTACATGCACACACCATACTAAAAGAAACGTAAAAGAAATACTGTAAATGACTTTAGTGCAAAGCTGGAGTGCACATTTACTAATTTGTTATGTCTAGTGTGAATTACAGGTTGTTTAAATTTAAATAAATCAACATCTTACAAGAATCCCAGCAATGTAAATTTTATTCACCCAGGTCATTTCACTGGCTTTTTATAGGAGAGAAGCTTAGTCACTTAAGAACTGATAAATAAACACGCGTTAGACCTGGGCCTATGCCAACTGTCAAACCGCTCCCCTCCCCCCACGCCCCCTCGCTCCCTCTCCCCCATTTGCCCAGCGTTGCTGGAATCCTTGTAAAACAGTGAATAATTTTAATATAAACGTCACGTATTTTGCACAAGAAATAAAAGTTAATCACCTGTATCACACCACAGTAGTGATTTAAGAGTAAAAGTGTATATGTTCGTATATAGTATTCCACATACACATAAGTATAAATACAAAGTTTATGTGATGAGCGGACAACGTCCATTTCGGTTAACGTCACGTTTCCAAGAACATATCTAGGACGTTAACCGGCGCATGACTGTACATTGAGTTCTGCTATAACGCGTGTTTTGATAACGCAAATTTGCTCTAACGCGATTTTTGAATTAGGAACGATATTTGTATAACGCGAACGCTTGTTTGCTATAACGCGATTTTTGCTTACTATTTCTCCAATTTTGTGGTATTAACTGTGAATATGGTAAAGAACATCATCTCCAAGAAGCGTTCTGGTGATAGAATTCCCGGTGATAATCGTAAAAGAAAGGATATAACCAGGGCTGTGGAGTCGAAGACAAAACCTTCGACTCCGACTCCGACTCCTCAAATTTTTATGCTTCCGACTCCGACTCCTTGGCCTATTTGTAACAACTATTTCTACCATCCTAATTGTAATTTGTATGTTGTAACCTGCATAGGTAAAAAGTAAAACACCGTGGCTATACTGCTACAGCTTTATTAATGATCTGGACGATATTTAAGAACTACAAAAAGATGATAGGCTTGACTTTCAAAGTTTCAATCAAAAGAAAAATAAATTTATTAAGAATTCAAGATATTAACTAGAAAACCCCATTTACATGTATATCTAAAAGTTCGATCTCAGCATATGAATTTTGTTTAAGCTCATAATCTGATGTGGATCTAAATGATGATCCTACAATTCCTTTTAAAGTAAAGTTATATATTTATGTACATTAAAAAAATGAATACCTTATTAAGGAAAATGGATAAATCTTACATGATTAAGTTATTAAATTAAATTTGCCTTAATCTCACCAAAAACAGGTTGTAGCTAATTGTTTTGTAGCTGAGAGCCTCTGTGCAGTTTTCAACGAAACAAAATTTGATATAATTCAAAATTTCAAATGGTAAAGAAGAGACTATCGTCCAAAATTAGAGTGCTATACTGTGCCTGCTACAATAAATTCATAATAATGCTTATAAAATGGAAATAAATTCTTTTAATAATTTAAGAAAATTAGTGGGATCAGTGGAATCACTGCAATGAATATGCCTGAGTTCATATATTTGTTCTTAGGAACAGAATAGTTTCAGTCGGAGTCGGAGTCTGGACAATTTTACCGACTCCGACTCCGACTCCACAAGCAGAAATTTCCTCCGACTCCTCGACTCCGACTCCGACTCCACAGCCCTGGATATAACACTTGAAGAGAAGCTTGATTTTATCAACCTCAAAATCACCCTTCTCCCCCATCAAGTTACATTTATATTTTTTCAAGGTAAAGTGTTACATTTACTGTATGATTTCATTATTAGATATGAATGTAACATTTATTTAGACTGTGCTATCCTTTGTGTTAGGCTAACTACTAAATTTTTTCGATTTCGAGTAGTAATCTGCACCTAACCCTATTTTCTCCATAAGCCCTGTTATTTCTATTACGCGATTTTCTATAACACGAAATTTTACAAGAACACAATTATCGCGTTATAGCAGAACTACCTGTACTACACATTGTAAATTAATTCTTCCTATGGAGAAAATGGGAATACTGTATACAGTGGTCCCTCGGTTAACGAGATTTCGGTTAACAAGTTACCTCCCATAAGATTCTTAACTTCAGTTATCGAGCAACCCCTCGGTTAACGAGTTTCTTACGAGCCGATCTCAAAAAGTTTTGGCTTGCACTTGGCGGTCCACCAGCTGTAGTATTAGTCCGCCAATACATTAATCGGTTCTAGGGCTTAAATTCCTTACCATTTTAGCAAATATCAAAAAGTTTATACTATTCAATAATTTTAAAAGTTTAATATTAAATTTTTTAGTAATTTTAACAATTATTGAACATACAGTGACCCCTCGTTTAACGAACGCCTCGGTTAACAAAATTTCGGTTAACGAACTGCCTTCCATAAGGATCTTCAATTCGGTTAACGAACAAAAATTCGGTTAACGAATTTCTTATGAACCGACCTCAACATGTTTTCGCTTGCACTGGCCGGGCAACCAGCTTTAGCATCAGTCCACCAATACATTAATCGGTTCTAGGGCTTAAAT